ATATATATATATACATATATATATATATATATATATAATAAAATATTAAAAATTTTTAATTCAATGTTTTTTGAAAACGTTAGGCATTTAGATATTTCTCAAATCAATCCTGAGGATGGAGTCTTTGCAAATCCTAATACAATCTTATCTGATATTGTAAATGGTTTGCCTCAATTAACTTCTTTAGATATTAGTGGCACAAATTTAGCAGGAATCGAAATTGTAAATCGTGCAATACAAACAGTTGAACATTCTTTTTATTCTGACATGTACAATAATCTGTGTGATATACCAGGTCTTATTTCAAGAGTAGATAGACCTTTACAATTTTTAGGATTATATGGAGCAAATGATGCACCTTGTAGACGTCGTAATATTCCAGCAAAATTGGTAAATAATAAAAATAATAAAAAAATTATAACATATATGTATAATAATATTGTATAATTTATTTCTTATTTATTAATTAATTTGAATTGTTAGATTGCAGGAAATGCAAATGAAGATCAAATATTAGTTGCCGCTCATGTTTATATGAATAATAAAGAAGATTTAATGTTAAAAGTAATAAGTGATTTATATCAAATCTATAGATATGAAAATTGTCACAGAATGGATCAAGCACTTTGTGCAGTATTAGAAGCAATGGAAAAATATCCTACTCAAAAAGATATACAAATATCTGGAAGGTAAATTTAATTAAATAATATAAATTTTATATGTAGTTATATTATATTAAAAAATTTAATACAATGTGCATTATTTATATAGTGCAGCACTTTTTTATATCGTAAAAATGAAAGAAAAAGGTGAATTAGAAGCAAGATTGAAAAAAAGAATTGTCCGTACACTTCTCATTGGAATGAGTATTCATAAAAATGAAGAAACTATGATGCGCAATGGTTGTCTAACATTATATCAATTCCGATTACCGCAAGATGTGGTATGCATAATCGTTGTTTTTTTATATTAAAAATATTATTTCAATTATATTACAAGATATATTTTAAAAAATAAATATGTTGCCAATTATTTTATATATTTTATTAGATGTCACATTATGAAACATTGGTCAAACTACTTTTGCATTTAGCTAATAATGCGCAACAAGAAAGTTATGTTCAACGTATTGGAATATTTCTTTTAAATACATTGGCATGTCAAGTAACAGGTAGAGAAAAACGTTTATTAGGCAATCTAGGTTGTATAAAAACAATGCTTGAACTAATCAAATACAGAGTTGAATCCAGAACATTTGATGATGTTATGGAAGTAGCTTGGTCAACTATGTGGAATGTGACTGATGAAACTCCTATAAATTGTCAACGATTTTTTGAAGAAAATGGCATGCCGCTATTTTATAGATGTGTTATGGTATATAAAATTAATATTATTTAATTTATTATGAATAAAATTTATTATGAAATTTAATTTATAATGAAAGAACTAAATTCATATAATATTTTCAAATATTTTATGTTTGTAGCAATATTCTCGTAAAGAAGAATTATTGAAAAATATGATGGGATTACTTGGTAATGTAGCTGAAGTACAAAGTCTTAGAGTGCATCTAATGCAACTGCCATATATGGTTGTTTTTACAAATTTAATTCGTAATGTTAGAGAAAGTATTGAGGTATTTTATATAAAATAATTATATTTAATAATTGTATTTTTATAATATATTATTTTTTATAATTAATTTTTATTATTAGGTACCATATAATGCAGTTGGTATATTAGCTCATATAGCATCTGATGGTGTTGAAGCATGGACAATAGAAAAACCTAGTCGAGATGTAGTTCTTGAACTTATGGTTGAAGCTATCGAACGATGGGATATATCATCAGAACGTAATATTAATTATCGCTCATTTCTGCCATTATTACGTTTAGTAGATATATATCATACACCACAATGTCAACATTGGGCAGTTTGGGCTCTTGCTAATCTCACCACTGTTTATCGTAAGTATTATATTTTGTAAAATAACTTTGTAATCTAATTTTATTTTAAACTTCAAAAAATAAATTTTTCATTTCATATATCTACATATAAAATATAATCCACAATAAAAATATTATATTTATATTATTATAATAAAAATTTTATTATTTATATTATTATATATACACACATATTTAATATTTAATAAGTTTTATTAAAATCATGATTATTTTTTTTAATAGCTCATAAATATTGTATATTAGTTATACGAGAAGGAGGCCTTGAAAAATTGAATACCTTAATCTCAGATGCAAGACCATATGAGCGTATAAAAGAACTTGCCCACATTGTAATTGAAAATTGTAGTCATTATAGTAGCAACTCCAATGATATGAATGTTCATTCGCCATTAGATGAAGACTATATATATAGTTCAGATGGTTAAAATTCAATTTTTATTACTATAATTCAAATAGCATAAAAGTAGAATGTTTTACGTCTGTAATAAAAAATTTTCTAAAAAAAAAAAGAGTGTGAGTAAGATTATAAAAATATATTAAAATATTTGTATGTTGATTTGCCAAATTGTAAATTTAAAATTGAGTACTCAGACAATCTTACTCGCACTTTTATTACATGAACATTTCATTGCATATTTTATTTATTACATGTACAAAATATATTTGGACTATTCGTGCAAATATATTATTAATGATATTAAAAAGAAAGTAGTAATTAGTTTAATAAAAATATTTTTGATGTAATAATCTCTATAACACTGTCCAAATTCAAATACATTTTTGATTTATGTAAATAACCATGCTGTATTATAAATAAGATCAAACTAAATTTAGACTGAAGTAATTTCTTGAAATAATGAATGCTGATTTAAACTTATATTAAGTTTCTTATACTTGTGTGAATTCTTTGTAGATATTTGTATCATAAATAAGTTTTCAGTTGCCATTAAATTTGTTTCATGAAAAAGATTTAAAATAAAAATAAATCTATGCATTAGATTATTATGTAAATAAAACTGAAATAAGATGAATTAGATTTACAAATTTGTACATCTCTATTACCAGAATTAAAATTTTTTGAAATAATAATGTTGTTATCAAAATCACGCTGTAAAACAAATATTACAACTTAATAAACAATAGATTTTAATTATTGATTTACGCAATTAGCAAAAAATTTGCGTAAATGATTATTTAAATGATCATTACTGTAATCATTATGTAATATTATTGTACGCGTGTAATAAATTGCAAAAAATTCTTGATTTATTTAATATATAGTATAAAAATGGATAAAACTAATTTATCCTTTATTTTCTATTCTTTTTACTTTTATTATTTAAAAGATTTATTATTTTATTATTTAAAATATTTTTAATATATTTATTATAAATATTAAATTTTATTTTTGATAAATAATTTTTGCATTTTTGCAATATTATGCATGTATAAAATATAAACTTAAAGTAACAAGATTCATATTTATTTAATTATATTTCATTACTATTAAAAATTTCATATAATAAAAGTTATAAAATACATTTTATTATTTATTATAAAAATGTTATTTAAATTTTTTATTTATATATAAATAAATATATATTTATTATTATATATTTAAAATATATTTGTTAAATTTTATAATAGAAATTAGATTTCATAAGATAATTAAATAAATCAATTTTGAATATGTAAAATATTCTAGATAAATGACTGAATTTAAAAAAAATAATTTGAAATATGTATATATATATATTTCAATAGTACATATATATATATATATATATATATATATATATATATATATATATA